TCTCTCTCTCTCTCTCTCTCTCTCTCTATCTCTCTCTCTCTCTCTTTCTCAATCTAGCTCATTTTCTGGGCTGGGTTGACCCTTGATGGTCCCATGACACAGAAAATTGGTCCCTGGACCCTCCACGATTATCTACTTCAGTCTAGGAAGTGGTTACAGAAAAGCTAAATAGCAATTTCTTCAGGGGAATAGAGGGAATTGGAAAATGAGAGCCTGGATTTATGGGGAGCAAATAGAAAGTCAGTACCTCAGTGGTAACATACAAGTTTTGTATTCAGAAGATCCCAGTTTCAGTTCCAAGTATGTTAAGGTAGAGCTGGATAAGATTTGTCTATGAAACCCTGAATTGCTACTGCTAAGTAAGAGAGCAAATTGCATTGTTTCCCCAGTTTCAGTTCCAAGTATGTTAAGGTACAGCTGGATAAGATTTGTCTGTGAAATCCTGAATTGCTACTGCTAAGTAACAGAGCAAATTGCATTGTTTCTGAAAATAATATATATAGTACTAAGCCGTTATTTATTTATTTATTTTATTCCTATCCCACCTATCTGGTCGTACTAAGCCATAATTCTTGAAAGCACAGGGTATCATATGCTACTCATATGTTACTCCTGTTATGTCAAATTATCAGATTCTCACGTTGAAAACATTTTCATGTAATACAAATTAGTTTTAAAACTGCAGATAAAGAGCAGAAGAATTAGAAAGCACAGCATTGGTTTTACATGGACAGAGGAAATGAACATTCAGAACAAAGGACTTAAGTCTTTTTCTAGAATGCGGTGTGCATATGACGTGATAGATGTGAAAAATTAATCTAGGAAGGAATGTGTAAATAAAGCTCATCTTTGGAAAATAATCCTTTTGCCATTTTGAAGGCTTGATCACATTTACAGCTGGAATTTCTACTAACCTTCTGTGAAACAAGGTGGCTGTAACATTTGAAATTTCAGCAACTAACAGCAAGAAAAAGAAAAGAATATGTTGTCTTCCATTTATTTGCTTCAGCCCTTTCAACACACTCTTCTTTTCAGCTGAGTAGAGGAGGGAGAAATAACTCATTGAGGGTTGCTGCTTCAGTATAGCATTGCTATAAAAAAATCTGCAGTCCATCAAAGAGTTAACTTAAGTGTGCTTAGGCACATTCATTTCAATAGGTTTTTGTGTGCCTGTACTCTGGATTGTTTTATGAGCTTTTATGGGGTTTAATGAGTATATATCTCTTTTCAGTTTTTCCAATCGTGTCAGGCAAAGCCGTGGTACAATCTGCAGCTTCAAAATAGCCTAGAGGCAGAATATACTTGAATCACATAGCATTTGAACTGTGGTGTATAATGAGGAGTCTAAACTGAGATGAACTAAAACTCCAGGAGACAGCTCTAGAAGATTTCTTGTTGCAGACATTCAGTTTTGTTCTTTGATTAAGCATCTTTGGAAATGCATGAAAGCTAGAACAGTGTTCATCTGTGAACAATCTGATGTCCTTCACCTATTTTCCATTGATTTGAAGGGCCTAGTATTCTTATTGTTCGCTCAAAATCTTCCTGAAGTTTTAAGCAATAGCGTTCCCCAATAAATATCTTCTAACTAACTGGAACATCGCCTTGCCCTTTTTCGTTTAACTCTTTCTCCTTTTTAGGTTACGTATGGAGAGGTGTCCACTAATGCACAGGTAAAGGGTGTTTTGTGGTTATTTACTTTTAATGCATGCACAGTTCCTTATAAATCTTCGTCACATAGTGCAAAAAGGAAATAGGCAGGATAAGGGTCATATGTTAGGAATCATGCTCTTTCCATATAACAATAATCCCACTACAAATTTAAGTCATAGGAGTTCTCCACACGTCGTTCCTGTGACAGTAAAATTCTGAATAAGAATGAAAAGGCAAGAAAGAAGATGATCCCATTAAAGAATCTGTCACTTTATTAGAATTCACTCAGTGTGCTTGGGGGAGAAGGTAAGGAGGGAGAATCCTTATGACTCAACAGGGTCCTTGAGTCATGAATCTGAACGCTCATAGGAGTGTGTGCAAAAATGAAATGCACATATCCACAGTAATGTGCATCAGCCATTTCCCAGCTTTCTCAGCAGGGTTAGAAATATTCTGTACCCCGGGTTGAATTATAGTCAGGAAAAATACACTTAGAAGTGAAAAGACCATGTCACAAGGAAAGAAAAATATTGTTAAAAAAAGAAACATCTTGTTTTATACCAGAGCTGAGGTTTCTGTGCACTCCTGCCCTTTTTTTTCTTTTGAGGCCATAGACAACCCTTTGTTTGAAGCCCTGCCGCTGCCATAAAAACAATAAAAGCAATAATAATGGTTGTATTTAGCAGCCTCCAGGAGCAGCGATTCTCCTCAAAAGCAAGACACAGACTTTGGTTTATTTAAACATGCCAGTTCTGGAGAGAGAGGGCGGGCGGGTCTAAAACCAGAAGTGATTTTCTGGACCTTTCTTGTTTTGACCCCATGAAACACACTTTTGATGGGGGTACAGCCTGTTATACACCCAGGGATTCTAAGTTGCCTCCCAGGCTAAACATACAAAGAAGTTACTTGTTTAAGATAGCCTCATTCTGAGACAGTCTACTGAGAAATCTATGGTGCTGGCTAGATCTCTCATCTCCAGTGTGAGAACAAGACAAAGGGTGACCTTTCTCACACATGGAGGTTTAATGTCTCTTTGAAGGCAGAACCTGCTTGTGAAAATGTGGATGCAGATAAATTCCTCCATGTAAGCCAGAGCAAGCTTCCAGAGCAAGTTTGCTCTGGATGTTTGCCAGAGCAAACATTCAAGTGTGATCAACCAAACGGGATGAAATTCTTCATGCAGATCATCTGCTAAATGCATAAACTTTTGGGGCAGACATATTGGGAATGGAAAAAATCAGAGACATAATTCTTCCTGAGGGGAATTTTTTGAGGTGAGTTTTATCACTTATACCACAAAAGGGTAACTGTGTCCAAGTCTCATTTTAAATAAGGGTTCTTGAAGTTGCCCATCACCAATCAGCCCCTGGAGAGCTAAACTGAGTAGGTACACAGCTTACCTGGCTACAGTCATACTTATCCCTTCTATGGGGCGATATTGGCTGAATTCCTGTTGGTTAACATAGCATATGACACTACAGTATGGCCATTGAATTACTGAAGATTTGGTGATGAAATCCTCTGTAAGTTCCATTGGATCAAATAGGCTCACTCCAGTTGTAATATGCTACAATAAAGTTAGTCACAACTAAGGAGGCCTATTTGAATTAAGGGAACATTGTGTGGAGGAGCTGACTCACCAAATTCCCACTGATTCAGCAGTCCTCCTCTAGTGCTACTTATTTTGCAGGATTTCAGCCATTACGCTGTATTTCTATTTAAACCGATTAGTAAATTTTAAATTTTAATAAAGGTTAGCAAATTTTATACAAGTCCTTGATCTATTTTGTCCTTTTTCTTGGTGATGCATTTCTTCTTTTTCTGATGCTGCGTAAGTGACAACCCTATGCCAGGATCTCTTCTTTGAGAATTAAAATGACCAAATCTGCACTCTTTTGGACAATTCTGTCCTTCTACCTATTGGGCAATGATGTGCAGAATTATATACCATATCATTGTGGTGAAAGTAAAATGAAATTGGATTATGTTCTGTTTTCATTTTTTTGGTTCCAGCTGTGAACTTGTGGTCAGTCTTTATATGGCCAAAAAGGATCTGTTTAAATGACCTTTACTCTGTTGCTTAATTGTGATCTTCTCCAAATTATTTTGTATGTTTTCTGTACAAGCAAAACCTAGAAAGTATATGTAGGATTTTCTTAATACCTTTATAGTAGAAATGTTTATAAAATGAAGATGAGACTTGATGCCTTTGGGCAGGCCTATGTCCTAAATGATAGAGCACTGACAGAAAGAATTAAGTCAGAGTCAGACATCAGCATCTCTTGGATCAGGATCACAAAGAAAGAACATCAATGCCCAGGAAGAAACTAGCACTCAGTCAGAGTTTGAGAAAATATAAATAGTAGTTTTCGGGTGAAATGCTGGCAGATTTTGCCTGGAACAGGCCTAGAAATGAACTGTGGGAGTTTGTTGAAAACAAGTCCTCAAACTCTGCAGCATCTTGTTAAATATACGAGCTGGAGGAGAGTTCTCAGTTGCTACTCATTTTTTCCAGAAAGCCTACATCGCCTGTGCCAACCAATCAGCTTTTCCTGCAAGCTCATAATCACTCAAAACATACTCACCCTCTTACTTTACCTTTTAAGCCACAATGGCAGGATCAGGAGCCAGAGTGCATGGAAAGTTTGAATAGAGATTACCCTCCTTTTTCCCAGACAGACCAACCAGCAAGCTGTTGCAAAGTGAAGTCCAATGGCTGACAGGACAGATGATCTCCCTAAGTCTTCTGCAACAGCCTATTAGTTCCTCCTGCTGCCTCCCTAGAACTGGTCAGTGCCAGAAATAACTGTCAATGGGCTGCTAGGTCTGGAAGGCTGAGGGTTGTGTGAATGAGCACAAAGTGCCATGAAATGAATGTGACACAGCTGCTTAATGAACCACAACTCCCCAGCATCTGTCTGATAAACTACACAGTTACCTGGGTTGTTTTTTTTATGTACAGTATTTACAATGACTTATAAATGTGTTTCCATTTCTTGATGCAATGTTCAAATCTGTGGTTCTCCCATTATAAACAGTATTCACTCCCAATAAGAAAGATAACGGCAGTAGGAGCCTTGAAACAGGGGTTTCATCTGAACCAGGCATAATTTGCCACTATCATGCTTAATAGCTTCATGCAGCACAACAAATTATACAGTTACAGCCTGGAAATCAACCTTCCGATTAATATTATTGCTTATGTTTTATTAAAGCACCAAGTCAACGCCCAACAAACATTGCCTGGAAACTGACCAATTCAAAGATATGCTTGAACTGGGAACATGTGAAAACAATGGAAAATGAATCTGAAGTTCTAGGATACAAAGTGAGTAAGCTGATCATGGTGACACCTCTAAAATTTCATATGAATTGTTAAGTACAGCACCAACCTTAATTTAAAAAGAAACATTTTTTAACAATTAATTTCTTTGTTTTTTTTTTAATTGAATTGAATGTATTGATATACAGTACAGAGCATAGGGAATTTGGAAGGTCAGTTAGATCATAAATGCGAGGTGTCCCAGAGAATTGAAATAGTTACTTTGTCAATGCATGTATCTGTTCCTGCATGAGGCATTAGTGCTTAAGTAAGTCCTAAATGGTAGTGAGTCTTATGTGAATGCTTAATATAATGACAAATTTCCATTCACACAGAAACAAAGGATGTATATATCGTAAAGGCTTGGATCACAAAGCAGTTTAGTGACCACATTTTAGTTCTGAGCAAAAAGGTTGTTCAGTGGCATTATACTGTATACACTGTACATCTCTTACACATCCTATATGACTGAGCAGTCTTTTGTACGATTCAAAGTTATGGTTCTGTCATTGAGCTAAACCTGTAACTGAACTATACCATTTTCCCCGACTGAAGGTGGAGTTTCACAGAACTGAATATTCTCCCATATGATGCAAACGCACATGAGCAAGCCTGAAATCCTTTCTCCTGAGGCATTAGTTTGTTGCAGTGTTTATGGCTGGAGGTTTTTTTAGAAAGGCAAACTCACTCCTAAGCACATGAAAAAGGACAAAATGCATCTTCTATTGGAAACTGATACGTTTCTGAGCCATACAAGGTGCTTTGTTGTGTAGATGTGTGCATAAAACTATGGATTTAAGCAATGTGCAATATGAATAATGTATATGCCTAAAATACAGATATTCTGAGGATGCACACACACAAACACATAGGAAAATGTATAAAATGCATATATTAGTCAAATGTGTACAAAATGGTGTACATTTTGAAAAATGCACAGAATAAAGACAAATTTTCATATACAGAGAAATAAAGCCTTACAATCCAGTACAGAATGCCAATGAGAAAACTAAGACTTTTCACATACCAAGGGGGAGGAAATGATGGGAAAGAAGATGGGTATAGATTCAGTTACCCTGCTTTCAGTCTGAAGATGCACGTATTCAACTGCTCAGTGAGAACTGAAGTAAAATGTGAAATTAGGACTGTCAAGTATAGGAAAGTGGAATTAGTCCATCTCTCTTGTCTCAATGCGGGATCTGGGCAGAATATGCTACGAGCATCTTCCATCAAAAGGCCTGCCATATCTCATTATGTTCTATGTCACTATCTCCTGTGGCTATAAGATTTCATCAGGTAAGTAAGAGCATATTGTTTCTTTATCTCCTCTGATTCCAGGAATCTAGATTAACACTGTCCAGTGACTGGCCCAGATGTGATTCTGTCACATCATCCACAGGGAACTGAGATCTGCCCCTAGGACACCCAACCCAATAGTTTGTATTTTAAGTATATATAGTATGCCTATTCCTAAGGGATGCCCTGGGACCAAGGCCAGAGGGGTTTACTTCAGAATATCAGGGTGGCATCACTATCCCATGCCCAACAGAGAATTTCATTTTGGTTTGTTTTTTTCTTAAACCAAGCATGAGGATATTTCAGAGGTCTAAGGTTCCATGGGTCCACTATCGGACCTTGTAAATGTAAAGGTTCCCCTTGACATTTAGTCCAGTCATGTCTGACTCTAGGGGGCGGTGCTCATCCCCATTTTAAAGCCATAGAGCCAGTGTTTGTCCGTGGACAGTTTCCATGGTCACGTGGCCAGTGCGACTAGACACGGAATGTCGTTACCTTCCCACTGTAGTGGTACCTATTTATCTACTCACATTTACATGCTTTCAAACTGCTAGGTTGGCAGGAGCTGGGACAAGCGATGGGAGCTCACTCTGTCATGTGGATTCGATCTTATGACTGCTGGCCTTCTGACCTTTCAGCACAGAGGCTTTTGCGGTTTAGCCCCCAGCGCCCCCACATCCCACTTCTTGGACCTTGCAGAGCCATACTAAGTCTAGCCTGTGACTCCAAAAAATGTTTTTCCAATATTTTTAAAGTGTAAAAACCCTGTCATACTTTTCTTTTCTTTTGGTCATAGGAAGTCATTTTGGGCTGCTCTGCAACTATCCAAAATGACTTCGGTTTTGTTTTTTTAAATTCTAAAATAGCTGAAAGGGAAGCACATTCTATGCTCCACTACTCCCTCTGTCCCCTTGTGGGATCAAAAACATTTTTAGGACAATTTAAAAAGGAAATGGGGCTGGACTGGTGGTCCTAGGCTTGCTGAGAGGACAGAGATGGGCCATTGAAGTCCACTTTGCCCACACCTTGCCTCACTTTTATCATCTGTGAGAAACTCCTTTGGTACTTCATTTGCACACACATTACAGTTCATTTCATATTTATCTGCCTGGTGAGACTAAGCCACTGTGTGTCACGCCCTTGGTGCCAGTGTCCAGGAGATAAATATATTTCAATTGCTGGTTAGGGAAAATGTATAGAATTCATGACTAAAATCACACACTGTCAGCAATCAGGTGAGTGGGTTAATTTGTCATCTCATTGTTGTCCAACAAGTAAGTCGGAAATGTGCCCCACATGTGGGAAAACGGACAGGTTTTCTTCTTCTTCTTTATAATTATAGTTAATATTTGCTTTACAAAGTTTATCTGATATGTAGTTAGTCATAAATTTTCTTCAATTTCCGCATTGTTTTTCTGCTTATCAGATAAATTGGCAGTTCAACATTTAGTTCTTAATTGTTGATTTTCCACCAGTTCTCTGATTTCCTGTGTCTTTAAGGGACACATTGTAGGGCATTATCGATCTGACAGCTTTACACTAGAGATGGGTGAGAATATTGTTTCATTTCATTTATTATCAGGATTTGCTAAAATTCGAAAACTTGGATGTGGAATATGCCTGCATTTGACAGCAGTTTTTAATTGTGAAGGGAAATTTGGGGAGATATGTCAGTACAACATTTAGCAAAGAATCCTTCCCTATACTGTGAATCTGCTGGCTGGATAGCTCAGTGATTTAGGTAGAAGTTGGGAGTTCGAACCCCCAGTGTGCCTTCTGTGAGTAGAGCCAAGCTACAAGCTGCACAGTTCCAGAGTGTCCGTAGAAAAAGGGAATGGTAAACCACTATTGAGTGTTCTCTACCTGGAAAAGGGTTGAAAAGGGTTGCTGTAAGTCAAAATTTACTTTAAGGCACATGATTATTTTTAATCTGATACAAAAGGGTTGCTGTAAGTCAAAATTGACTTTAAGGCACATGATTATTTTTAATCTATTACAGAATTCATAACTGACTGGATAAGACACTAGCCATATTCTCTTGCTTATTATGGGCCATCAGAACCCAGCATGCAGTTTGGATAACAGCCTCAAAAGGCATACTCCATAGTGCAGCATTTTTATATTGTAGATGGAATATAAAGCTGATGTGAGATAGTTGCTGATGCCACTGAATGAATGAATGACAGACCGTCATTGTGAACAAGTTTTGACACCCCCTCACACCCCACAGGCTGAGATTTCATACAGAATGCTTGTGGCTGGAACAACCCATGTTTCCCCACAGGGTGCTTGGAAATAGGCTGCAAAACTACTTCATGAGACATGAGTGTACATCTCACCATGTGAAGAAAAGCTTACAAAAGAAAGCGACAATAATATAACAAGCTCCCGCTCTTCTCTCCTTTTATATTAAGATTTTGTATAGGCAAAATCGACAAAGCACCACGCATATCCTTGAGACAAACAATACCTCTGCTGAGCTCCTGGTACCTTTTGAAGAAGATTACCTCATAGAAATAAGAACCATGAGTGATGGAGGGGAAGGCAGCAGCAGTGAGGAAATTAGGATCCCAACCATGTCAAGTAAGTTGCCTTCCTCCCACCAGTGCAATTTGTCTGGTTCCTTGACTTTTAGGAAGAACTAAAGCTTCCTAAAGACCGTTGACATTGAATGTGTTCTCGAAGGCTTTCACGGCTGGGAGTCTGATGGTTGTTGTGGGCTGTTTGGGCTCTTTGGCCGCATTCTGAAGAAGCATAGAGAGAGTTCTTACTCCTGTCCTCTGAAGATGCCAGCCACAGAGACTGGTGAAATGTTAGGAAGAACAACCTTCAGAACACAGCCAAAGAGCCCGAAAAACCCACAACAACCATTGTTGACACTGACTTGATATTAAAGTAGCAGGTTAACTTGGGAACAGAGGTTCATGTGCTTGGTTGGGAAAGGGAAAAGCCATTAATGTGAAAAGAGTGCAGCAAAAATTTTCAGAGGCTTGAGAAGAAGCTGCAGTTTGCTGATGCCAGTGAAACCTGCAGCTGTACAAGCTGTGTGAAAATCAGTTTCTAGGCTGTACTGAAATCAAAGTCCTCAGCATAATAATCCTCATTATTTACTATTTTAAAAGTGCTTAAAATATATTGAGCTTCATGCATGAGCTGAAATAGCTAATGTGCCCGCCCACAGGCTCACAATCAAGCTAGAAACACAAGCCAAAAGGGAAGGGGAAATGGAGAGGAAAACAGCTTGCTTATTGATGTGCAGGATGTTTTAAAAAGTCCTGAAAATGGCTCCCTAAAGTTAAAAAACACAAATAGAAATTTTGAATCAACTAATCACACACAGTTCACAAACTGTGAATTTAAAGCATTCATTAAACTAAGAGTAAAAAAATTAGACATCGCCGGGGGGGGGTGGTAAATCATAAAATGCTCATTGAAAAAATGTTTCACCATCAGTGGGAGGAAATATAAAAGGTCAAGTGAGATTTCCAATGCTTAGGCATCACCATGGTGACAGCACAGTCTCCTACCTGGGCCTGCCTCACCTCACAACAGAGTGGAGCACAGGAAGAAAGTCCATCGAAGATCTCAGTGGCAGAGCAGTCTAATGTATATAATGTTTAGTCTTAGGCTATATGGCAGGAGTTCTTCTATCACCTGGACTTCAAACCAGAGTATGGATTTTTATTTATTTATTTATTTATTTTTTGGGGTAGGCTGCTTTAAGCTTCTAGGAATTGTAGACCAACCAACAAACAAACATTTTCAAGTTCTCATTCAAAAACAATGGCTGAAATCCTGTTGCATTTTTATGCTTGTAGAAGGCAAATGGTGTCACATTCAGTTACTTTTACATAGCAGTTAATAAGTCACTGATGGGATTCCTGGGGGCATGCATGACCACTGGCTTGGCATGGACTTGAGAATCCCAGCAGTGACTTATTAATTGCCAATTAAAAGGCACTAAATGTTATGCCACTGCTTTCCATATTTATATAAAAAGCAACAGGATTTCGGCCAATATTGGTACAAGTTTGTGCTTGAGCATCTTAAGTGTTGTGTATGTATGGCTGTACAAGTTGGAAGTTGTGGCCCTTTATGAAATAAACAGAAGTGTGGAACAGCAAAAGATAGTCTTGAGATACTAAGCTCTAAATATTGCGACAGTTAACTGACTGTATGAAGTTATCGGCTAGGAATAGATTGTGACTGTTCTGAAGTAGCACTTGAATCTAAGTCACTGGTTCTTAACCTTTGTTACTCAGATGTTTTTGGACTGCAACTCCCAGAAGCCTTCCCCATCAGCTCTGCTGGCTGGGGTTTCTGGGAGTTGCAGTTCAAAAACACCTGAGTAACAAAGGTTAAGAACCACTGATCTAAGTAACTTAAATACTGACCCGGTAGTTAGATTATGAAGCAGTTACTGCACATGTAAAATTTGTTACCTTTCTGTTATTCTTAAAGTCTTTATAGTTATATGTACCTGGCCTATTATTGTAATAAAGATTTGTAGATTGACTAGAATTAGATATTAAAACGCAATATATATTAATCGCCGGGTAGGTGGGGCTCGTCAGCCATGGAAGGCAGCCCATATAGGAGAAGGAAAACTCCGATTTCAAACCTCCACTGCCTTGTGGCTATATCCACTGATGGAAAAGGCTTCAGGAGTTAACCTCGAGGCAAAATCCGGAGCTGGAGTCCCGAAGGCAGCATGTGTCGTTCTGCCAACTCCTGCGACATTGCTGGAACCAGTTGTATTGGCTCTTGCCTTTCCATTGGACCATTTCAGCAATGTGGAGAGGGGGGATCGGCTGCTTGGGTAACAGCCTATCCTCCATATTACCTTACCCGGGCTTCATGCTCTGGAGAGGACACTCCTCGATTCACAGCATGTTACCATAGTCTCTTGAGACTGAAGGATGCCTATGAGATATATTAATCAAATTAAAAGAAGCTTCTATCAATAATGATTCTAGTGTGTGTTCTTTCTTTCTTTCTTTCTTTCTTTCTTTCTTTCTTTCTTTCTTTCTTTCTTATTTTTAGTTATATGCCAACTTGTTTTTAATTATATGCCATTCTTCTCTCCAAAGAGGCATAGAATGGTGGATAACACAAAAACAATGCATATAGAACATACACAACTATAAAATACTTTAGATAAATAATAAAATGTAATAATAAAACCTAGTGACAACCTAAACATTTATATCTCACATACATTTTTATCTCACATGTATAAATGTTTGCCATATAAGTGGTGGAAATGCAGTTCCAAGCTTCCAAAAGCCTGCCAAACAATTCTGCTTTACATCGTTTCCTGAATCCCGGCAGGTATGTCATTCTTTGCAGGGACGCAGGAACAGAATGCATGCATGTGAGAACAGCAAGAAGAAAAATTTTCAGGCATACGCAAGCCAGACTTCTTTGACAGTTGGCACATTGAGAAGGGCATTTCCAGATGACTTCAGTTGTCACAGAGGCTAATGTGGGTAGAGGTGGTCCAGCAGGTATGTGGGACCCAAGCCATATAGGGGTTTAATAACCAGCACCCTGAACTGAGTCCAGAAACCCACTGGCAACTAATGCAACTGGTGCAAAATAAGTGTTATATGATCATGACGGGAAGCATCTGTTAATAGCAAGTACCACATGCTGTATGAGTTGTAGTTTCCAAATTCTATTCAAGGTTAGTCCCATGTAGAGAGAATTACAGTAGTCTAACATCAAGGTTATAGTCACATGAATCACAGTGTGGCCTACTATCTTTCTTTTCTTTTCTTTTCTTTTTTTACAGGTTTAAGCTCCAAAGGAAGACATGTCTGTTATTCTGCAGTATACATAACAATAATTGATATTATTATTCTAGTTTATGTTCTCAGTTCCTCTGTTTTTTTGTTGAACTGAACCAGCAAACTGTTCCTGGATTTTTGAAAACAAAGCAGTCATTGTTGGAGAAAAAAGTGTATCCCAGTCCCTTTTGATATGTCAGTTACCATGGGGCAACATGGTCTGAGCAGGGGGAAATTTCACAGCCAGACTCCTCCTCTTGCTGAGATCATGGGCTACCTATGCAGTCACGCCTGTCATTCCTGAAAGAAGAACCTACTGAGAAAGACAAGGAGCTTCCTTTTTAAATGTAAATATAATTCAAGCTGCAATCCTATGGCCAGTTTTTGTTGTTGTTGGCTTTTGTTTTGTTTTTTTGGAAGGATGCCATACTGAACTCAAATGGATGTACAGGACTGCACTGTAATTGAATTTTTAAATGAATAAAAATTGAAATAAAAATGTGTGGGCTTTAAACTTGCCAATCAGTTCAAACTAAACAGAATGGAAACAAAAATGTTGCTATCAGATTATAAAAGTAGAAACTAATTACAATTAAAGTGACCTATTATGGAAACCCAGTCTATCTGTATGTATGATAAACATGCAAGATATGAGTCACAACCATAACAGACACTAACCAGCTTGAAAAAGGATTGCAGCTGTGTGTGATGTATCATGTTATTTGATCCATGTTTCTCATTTCCCTCTGTAATGAGACAATATTTACTGCATTTTCAAATTTAATAAAAATATTTCTTTACAATATTCCCTATCTGTATAAAAATCTTTTATTAGTTGAGAAGTTTCTATGCATAGCGTCTGTACATTGTTCCAATGTTTGATTAAGTAGGGGAATGGAAAATGGCTATGTCTAAGTACTTAATATGACCATCAATTTCTAATGTTATACAATGCAATCAGAAAATTAAGCATCTCGAACCACGTTGCTGGCAGCCTCACTCAAGAATAGGCTTATTTTAGGTTCCCCTGTGGTACATAGGCAATCTATATTTTATAAATATATTATCCAAAACACCTTAAAAATTTCCACTGTGAATGCCTATCATTATATCTACTAGCATAAGGAAGATTTAATTACTCAAAAAAGAAAAACAACAATCTCTTTATGAATGTGGGCTATTGTGCTTCTATATCCTCGATTCAAAATGCCAGGAAATGGCCTGAAATTACTGCAAAATATTGTGCCGGCAGTGCTAGCAAGAAAAAGGATGCCAAGCTTTACATAGCAAAGGGTAGCCTGAATGTTGATGGCACAAATGGCAGCAATCAAGAGAGTCTACAGGATAATCTCTTGTACTAACTACCATTCACAAAGAGACATCAAGCAAGAAAATCCCAGAAACTCACTCCTTTTTCTATTACCTCTTACCCAAACATAAAGCAATTTTCAGGGCTGTTTTTCAACAAGTGTGAGTGGTAATGAGTACCAGTTGTCCTTCAATGCATCACTTCTGCTAGGTATTAACCTACTGGGAACACCCCACAAGACAAGACTTGCCATTCTGGAAATGCTCTGACCCCAGTCATCTATCCATTTGGCCCTTGTCAAAGTCCCTGAGATCTTTCTGCTTGCCCCTATTTCCTGCTTTCAACACATGAATTTCAAGAACAGACTGTTCCCTTGCTGTCTAATATATCCCATCCCTTGACAGGTGCCATGGTAACACTACAATCAATGCTATTCACTTCACCTGTTGGTTATTTTAATATTGTGGCAGATCAGTGTATATGCTCTTTTTTTTTCAAAAAAGAGAGAAAAGTCTGGATTCATGCAGAGGAAAAATAATAATAGTGGGGAGGAAATTGGTCCGAAAGCAGTCCAAGAGAACTTCAGTGTGAGGAAAGGATGCTGGAAAGAAATGCTTGGTACAGTATATGTACAGCATGCTCAATACAAACTCCAGAACAGTTTGTCTACCAAACTCATTAGGACACTGAGCTGGTTTATGTGGCACTCCTCTTGGTTTATGGCGGAACTGAGTTCCTTAAAATGTGTCAGGAGACAGCAGATGGTTGAGAATTCATCCCAAACTGTTCTAAAACAACATAAAGTACAGTGGCAGAATGTTTTACCTTCAGGTGTTAATACGACACTCAGGGCAGAACACCTAATTATCACCATCTTTTATATGTTTATTTGGTAGTAACTTGATATATGTCTCACTATTCCTTATGCCAGGTCCTAGCATATTGTAGTGGATAGAATGTTGGACTAGGACTTGGGAGACCTGAGTTTGAATCCCCACTAAGCTATGGAAATTCACTGAGTGGGAGCTCACAAAACTACTCCTTAAATATCTCACTCACCATGAAAGCCCTATTAGTATCTCTATAAATCAGTTCTCACTTGACAGTACATAACAACAGATTTCTTATGACACCCCAGGGTGCATTTTGATGGGCACATTTTGAATTTGGTTAGTTAAGGCTTCTAGAAGTAACAACATGAGTTTCTATAAGAAAGTTATCAATGGATCACTGAGGCAGATATATTTTCTATTTTCCTCTGAAGGAATGATCAAACTTTTCCAGTTTACCAGCCAGTGGTGTAATGAAGACAGGGCTCACAGAATCAGAACTTTGGGACTTTCTGGGCATAAGGAATTATGGTATCATTCACCTCTTCTTTTCTACCCCTGATTTCAATCTTTCTTCTGAGCATAGCTGCAATCTTTATAAGATCTGAGAGAGAAAAGGATATTCCCTAGCTGCAAGTATTCTCTATTGTTGTGTGATGCATTTGATAATATTTGAACAGATAATTAAGAGCTACTAACTTCGCACGATATTTGTTCGTCATTTGTTCATACAGACTGATCCAGCTACCTGCATTTTTGAACTCTCCTTATGGGGGCAGGTCCGCCTGTGATGACTATCAGGATCTATGCCAGCACTTCTGAATTTATTATTACACCACTGTTGCCAAATGATGGATACAAATTGAATCCATCCTCCATCTTCAGTCCCAATCCAATGCTAGGCATCGGAACACCATCAGACAATATAAAGCAATAAACTAATTCAGTATTGCCTATACTGATTAGCAATTGGACTGGAGCATTTCAAATGGGCCTCTTAGCCCTACCTTCACTGACAGAAAAAGACTAGTAATGGCTGTGACCGGTATACATGCTCTAGTTAAAAGGTGCTTTGGAGTTTGAAAAACAGTGGATTAAGAGAAAATATATGTAGACAGCACTCGTGGATGTTTTGCCCACACATTTTCTGCCTTTTCTCCAAAAAAAACCAACATTCCTATCATTTCATTGCCATATCAAGAGTTCTTAGAAAGTCTCCTAAGACTACATGAAATCAGGAAGATACAATTGTAGATAAAGAATTCTGTATAAATCCAAATTACCTCAAATTAAATAAAAATATGACAAATTAAATAAAACAAAATTCAGATTTTGAACTATGTTGTTTTAGTTAAAATGTCAAATTTGCCTAGAGCTCATAAGATACTACTAGATGAAAATAAACAATTTCTTTAAAGGTGATAAAGCACTGCTATGGTACAGTACTGCTTTTTCCTATAACGAATGATACAATTTGTTCCAGCCTTTCTTAATTAGATAACAAGAAGTTTGCTAGATCTGATTTTTGACCAAATTGCTCAGTATTAGTAAGTTCCTGGCAAAAAAGCAAGTTGGGATGTGGTGGTTGAACACATCACTCATCTTCCTAGCCTTGAGTTCACCTAGGATTGCTTTTAATCATACCCTTTACTATTTGCATATTTCTGCTAATTCATTTGACAGCTTATAGTCAGTGCTTGAGATGTGCTTGAGATGACAGACTCAGAGAGTGACAGAAAAATTAGACTTCGTAAAGCTAGACTTATTTCTGAGTAATTTTATATATCCGCTTACCAACTGAATTACTAACTTAATAGGTCAAGAGGTTTAATCAGATTTCTATATGCCAAGATGAAGATGGAAATAATTCATCCCTTTCCATGCCTGTAAAAAAAAAAAACAGCAAGGTATTTCATAAAGGATGAGTTCCAGGAACAGAGCTGGACTCTGTACATTATTTCACTGAATGCAGTTGATTGGACCACCAGATTTGGGATTGTTCCTTCTGCTTTAAGATGCTTTCTTATACATTAATGTGAAATCATTCTGAGGAACAAGTGACATAGCTCAAAGGCAGAATATATGTTTCTCTGCATCCAGTGTTCTGGGTTTAAAAATATCCTCTATATCTGTGAAGCCATTTATTCTCAAGAAATGAGTTGGGGGTTGGTTAGGGATTGAGCATATTCTAGTAATTTTGTGGGATGAGTGGTTTACCATCAAGATAGAACAGCAGGAGTGGCTATATATACAGTATACAGTATACAGTGTACAGTATACAGTATGCTATAGCCATATGGAAATAATACTTGGGAGACTGTCAGGGAAATATGCTGTGTGTGTGTGTGTGTGTGTGTGTGTGTGTGTGTGTGTGTGTGTGTGTGTGTGTGTGTGTGTGTGTGAGAGAGAGAGAGAGAGAGAGAGAGAGAGAGAGAGAGAGAGAGAGAGATGTGCTGTCCAACTTGGAACTGACTTACAGCAACCCTAATAGAGTTTTCAAGGTGAGATTTTAAATGAATAAACACTTTTAAGTAGTTTTACCAGTTCCACTCCATCAGTGAGTTTCTATAGGGATCATAGACACACACAAACACACACAAAGTATACATGCATGCATATATATGCATACACATACATAACTACACATACATATACTATATTTTTCTGACAGTGTCCCTAGAATTATTTCCATATGGCTACAGGATCATTTCCATTGTGATATTTTATACAACTGAAAAACACTGATGGGCTGCTCATCACCGTTCTATCACTGCTGGAAGTCCCTATAAAACTTTGTAAAGCAAAGTGTGGACTATAAGAACTTTTTTGATATTGTGTCTTAATGTCACCTCTTGTCAGTTCTGGGATTCTCAGCCTAATGAGGACCATATGAGGTTGAAAGAGAGCATACATCTGTAATTTATTAGTGGTCTAAGAAAGATATAGCACATGCTTGCTTTCAGACTGCCTCAGTGCTACTACCACCTCTGAAAATCAGTGGCATTCACTTCCACTTTGAACTTGAGATAACCCTTTCATTGCCTTTTTTGAGCCTCCCCTGGATGAAACTGTAGGGTTTGTTTGTTTGTTGTCAGTTTGCTCCAAATGGATGCTACTGGGCAAGGAGATTATGAGGTAGATGAGACTACTTGCTACCCATTTAGACTTGAGGAATGACTGCAGAGTTCCTGAACAGATTATAAAACGTTCCAAGAGCAGTTCAAGCACTTAACTCTGGCTAATAATGTCTTACACCCAAAAGGTACTCTGCTACCTAATCCCCCAGAAGAACCTGGAAGCAAGTCTTTCAGTGCATCTGCTCCTGGGATGAAAATGACACAGAGATCCCCTCCCCCAAATTGAAGAGAGGCAAAGAAAACTGTGAAGCGTTTGCTCTCTCTCAGTTAGTGACCCCTGAGTAGATTCAGGGACTTAATCTCAGGCAAGCATTTAAGAAATAAATTGGAGGAAGGGAGTTTTCTCCTCAAGAATGCTACATTTATTAAACTTAGATATATTTAAATGTTTCTAAATTGGTTTTTCATAATCCTAGAACTGCAAGAGGCCCTATGGACAGATAGCCCCTGTCAAGGAGGTACAGTGAGGAACTGAACTCCCAAACTCGGACTCCCCCACCAGATACTTCAGTCACTGAGCTATCCAA